AATTTAACACACCTGCTCCCCATTCACACCTGAGACCTTGTAACACTAATGAGTCACATGACACCGGGGAGAGAAAATGGCTAATTGGGCCCAATTTGGACATTTTCACTTAGGGGTGTACTCACTTTTGTGGCCAGCGGTTTAGACATTAATGGCTGTGTGTTGAGTTATTTTGAGGGGACAGTAAATTTACACTGTTACACAAGCTGTACACTCACTACTTTACATTGTAGCAAAGTGTCATTTCTTCAGTGTTGTCACATGAAAAGGTATAATACAATATTTACAAAAATGTGAGGGGTGTACTCACTTCTGTGAGATGCTGTATATATACACACACACACACACACACACACACATATATATATATATATATATATATATAAATAATTTCTTAGGATTTTCCTAGCTATAATTTCTTAGAACATGTCTGGCAAAACTTGACACTTTTCATAAAATTTAGCCAATATCTGTCTTGCCAAGAGCACAAAACGCAGTAGATTATTTTCTCCTATTCTGCTGCTTTTTACAATCAATATCTGCAGCTGGTGGTCACCTCTGCCCTCTTGAAATCCCACAGGCCCCTTGGAGGACAAGAACATGGATATCAGCTCCACCACACTCTCTCAAGAATCTTCAGTCACACAAGAGTCTTCGGACACCACCTTATCCATCACGTCGCCTGAGGCCTCCGTCCCCAAAACTCCTACCTCAGACACCCCGACCCAAGCTCCACCTCATCTGCTGCACTCCGCCCAACCACAAAGACCTCACCCCCAGACCAGCTCCTCCAGTGAGGGCAAGCGCAGGCCAGAGCCGCCGCCTCCGCTGGAGGTGATAGAGCTGCCTAAGTGTCTGCCACCGGGACGGAGAGAGCAGAGGAAAACACTAGTGCATGTGTGTGTGAGGTCTCTCTTCCTGTGTCTGAGTCGCTTCCCGCAACACTACAAGAGTCTCTATCGTCTGGCACACCTGTACGCCTACAGCAGGACACACAAGGTGCGCAAACACACATGCACTTCATACACACACCATACAGTGAATCATTTCTGTGCCACTGAAATACAGGAATGCAAACTTGCATGTGGCCTGAGACAGCTAAAGTAGAGATCTTTTTTTTTTTTTTTATATTTTAAAATATAGTTGAATTTTTCTTCCCGAGGGCTGCATCTGTTTCACCTATGATGAGTTTGCAACTCTGTTGTACTAACGGTTTTCTGAAGCACTACAATAAACAGTTTTTAAAAACTTATTTTAAAGTGTCGTGAAACCCCCTGTTTTAGCACTGGTCAAGAAATGGGCGTGTAAATCTGTGGAAAAGTGGGAGTGTAGAGGGTGGGAAGAGGGGAGAAAACAACCAATAAAACACAGACCTAAAACCAGAGGTGGACAGTAGTGAAGTATTTTTACTCTGCTGTAAAAGTACTTTTCAAGTGTCTGTACATTGTGTTTTTCTTTAGAAAACTTTCTTCACAACATTCCAAAGCATAATATTGTACTTTTACTGCACAACATTTCATATTAAATATAATTTAATACTTAATTACATTAGAAATCTAGTACTTTCTTACTTTTACTCAAGTAACAGTAATTAAAAGTTTTACTCGAGTACAAGAAAGTACTACATGTTCTTAAGTATTAAAGGTAAAAAAAAACCAACAACTTTTATTTTTGAAACGTAAAAAGTACGACATTTTGCTTTGGAATGTAGTGAAGTAAAAGTTTTCCAAAGAAAAGCACTCTGATAAAGTACAGATACTTCTTAAATTTATTGAGTAAAGTAAAAATACTTAACTGCTGTCCACCTCTGCCTACTGTACAACACACTCATTATACAGACAAATGAATATTAAAATATGAGCCGAGAAATAAAAAAACAAAACAAACAACAACGAAGATAGGTGCCACCTTGATATATTTTAAGAATAAAATAATGAACTCTCAAGAAATTTTTTGAAACTTTCATGAACAAATCAAATATCTTTTGCTAAATTATTATTTGAAATAAGTAAGCAGAGATATTGGTCTATATGAAAAATGAAGAAAACATTTAAAAGTTCTAATAATATTTTCACGTTTGCCAGCACTACAGTCTCAGAACAAATGACACATATCAGTTTAAAACAGAAAGAATAAAGGCATAGTTACTTTTTGTTTACTCTTCTTTGAATTTTTGGGCTCTATCATTGTTTGCTGTGTATCACAATAATCTGTTGTGTCATTGCGTTTATGATCAAATGTTCCACTGTATCAGTGCCCTTATTTGCGCATATTTCATTTGAAGAAGACATGATATGTGCGGATACACGGTGCTGGGTCATGTTTGGAGCACGGGAATATGAAATATGTTCACATAAACTTGAAATACGTTTGCTCTGGTCCGGATAAGAACTGTGATCCGTGCAGCGAGTGTTGTTAAAGGGATAGTTTATCCAAAAATGAAAATTCTGTCAGTAATTACTAGAGGTGCTCCGATTGATCGGCTACCGATCACTATTGGCCGAGAATCACGTTGGGATGGAATGTTAACAAATTAAAGCGTTCACTGCACACGGTTGCGGTCCGGCAGTGCGTTCAGGAGCGGTGCGTCTGCAGCAGTGCAGAGATCGTTTCCGCACCAAGTCTATTTTTGCTGCGCTGCAAGCGAAGGATTAAAGTAACAGCTTAATGTTTGCAGTAAATATGAACTTGGATTGACACGAAAATGTAGTAATTACACCATAAATGCATATTATTAAGGTCTACTGTATTTCACAGTCAACACATACGGCTTTTTGGCTTGGTTTAAAGGGAAAGAGCACTTTTAGATAAACAAGGCAATAATAGATGGCACTCGTGGAGGTAGAAAAACAAAGTTCTTTATGAACTGCAGGATTGCTTGTAATAAAGATTTAAATGCAAAAGGAAAGGCAGTAGAGCTGACTATTTCTGTCAATGGTAAGTTTGTGATAACATAAGAAAAGTAGTTTA